GGCGCTCGTGTGCACCGGCGCCGTGTTCCTGGGCGCCGAGATCTGCCCCTACTCGGTGTGCTCGCGGCACGGGCTGGCCGTCGCCTCGCACAGCGTGTGCCTGACCCGCCTGCTGATGGTGGCCGCCTTCCCCGTGTGCTACCCGCTGGGCCGCCTGCTGGACTGGGCGCTGCGCCAGGAGATCAGCACCTTCTACACGCGGGAGAAGCTGCTGGAGACGCTGCGGGCCGCGGACCCCTACAGCGACCTGGTCAAGGAGGAGCTCAACATCATCCAGGGCGCCCTGGAGCTGCGCACCAAGGTGGTGGAGGAGGTGCTGACGCCCCTCGGGGACTGCTTCATGCTGCGCTCCGACGCGGTGCTCGACTTCGCCACCGTGTCCGAGATCCTGCGCAGCGGCTACACCCGCATCCCGGTGTACGAGGGCGACCAGCGGCACAACATCGTGGACATCTTGTTTGTCAAGGACTTGGCCTTCGTGGACCCCGACGACTGCACCCCGCTCCTCACCGTCACCCGCTTCTACAACCGGCCCCTGCACTGCGTCTTCAATGACACCCGGCTGGACACGGTGCTGGAGGAGTTTAAGAAGGGTGAGCGGTGGTCTGTCTCCTCCCCCAGCCCCTGCCCCCCGCAGAGGTGTTATCCCTGCATAATCACGCGAGGCTTTAGACGCCCAGAGCAGTTTCTCTCTCCGTGGTCCCAGACTCGGGAAGACCCTCTTCCCACCCGGCTCCCTGTCTGCACTCACCTCGTCTTCCTGGCAGAGCTGACTGAGCCCCGGGCCTTTTCCGCCCTACCTGACTCACAAGATGCACCATTATCTTATTTATTCCATCCCACCAGTGTCTTGCCAGGGCCTACTGAGTGCCAGGTATCGTGCATGTTGAACTCTGGGGATAGCCCTCGAGGGTCATTGCATAGCCCCCCACCCATCAGCAGGGGGCACCTCCTCAGGTGCTCATAACGGGCGGCCTCTGCTTTACTCCCAGCGCCGGAAGCTTACAGCTTCCAGAGCGAACTTACTCCGTTGCTGGACAGCTCCCGCGCGGCTGACGTGTCTTCCCTAAATGGGGCAGAAATGTAACGCCTCCTAAACCTCCTAGCTCTGCCCTTTGAGTCGTGTAGAGGAAGCCCCAGACACCTTAGACAATATTCCCCATATCTAACTTCCTATCGGCTGTTCGCTGGAAGCCCATCAGATACCCAGGCTGGGGATTAAAAATCGACTAAAGCAGTGAGATTCTGGAAAACTTGCATATCCAAAAGAGGGGGCTTTCCTTCAGCACAGTTCCTGTCCTCCCCCGCCCCCTCCCCAACCTCAAACTTGATTGTCATGCTTATCACACGGTTACTTCATGTCTGGGAAGTGTCTTCGGAAAGTGCCTTCTAGGGTTGATTACAAATTCACTCAGGAAAAATCAGCCTGGATACTTTAGAGTAAATCCTCTTGGCATTACACAGTTTGACTGTTCCCCTAGTTCACCAGGTTTGGCCCAGAACCCTTGACTGTTTTTGAAAACCAAATCTATTTTCAAGCGTCAGCATTGAGAGTATTGTAGAGACTACCTCACAAACCCTGAAAGCAACTGTAGATGTCATAATTTGAGAACAGGGCCATGATTAAGTGTAGAACTTTCCAGAGTTATGGTTTTGAAGGAGGCACTCGTCTGTACCTATGAGTTTGCATGTTTATATTAAAAAAAAAAATCAATCCCCTGACTTTAGAATTAGGCTTCAAATGTAGCTTCTCTGTGGCTTGCAGGACTCTCATTAGATTTTGCATTTTGTATACATTCTCTTGTTTGTCAAAAACTCAATCTCATGACCACTTGAACTCAGGAATTCCAGGCTGCAGTGAGCTATGGTTGCACCACTGCACTCCAGCCTGGGCAACAGAGTGAGACCCTGTCTCTAAAAATAGGGAAAAAAAAGTCTAAACTCTACTGCCAGTCTGGGACTCAAGGAGAAAACAGCCCTAGACTTTGTTTTGGTATTATGAGAAGGGGAGAGATGTGCATATATGGCAGCTATCTTAGCCCAGTCTGGGCTGCTGGCTCACTCTCTTCTGTCTGCCTCCCGTTAATTCTTACACTAACAGTCCCTCCTGTCCTCTGAGACTCATCCACCCACTCTCAGAATTATGCTTACATTTTGTGTATCTTAAAGACAGAGTGTCTTGGATCTGGGACATGAAATCTATGAAAAATCCGTCTTAGTTTTCTACGGTTCCCATAACAAAATACCACCGACTGCATGGCTTAAATGACAGACATTTAGTTTCTCACAGTTCTAGAGGCTAGAAGTCCCAGACCAAGGTGTCTGGCAGGTTTGGTTTCTTCTGAGACCTCTCTCCTTGCCCTGGAGACATCACCATCACCCCGTGTCCTGGCATGTCCTTTCCTCTGTGAACACGCATCCCCAGGGTCTCTGTGTCTCTAGATTTTCTCTTCTAATAAGGATACCAGGCAGATTGGATTAAAAACCACCCTGACGGGCTCATTTTAAAACTCAGTCATCTCTGACCTGTGATGGGTAAGACAGAGAGCAGTTAAGATAATGTCTCTTTGTCGTGTGCTGCCAGAAGACATTTTTAGTGGAACTCCTGTGAACTCATTCGTTCATTCATTTAGTCATTTTAACTTAGTCACCTCTTACCTGTGATGGATAAGACAGAGAGCAGGTAAGATAATGTCTCATTGTCATCTGCTGCCAGAAGACATTTTTAGTGAAACTCCTGTGAACTCATTCATTCATTCATTTAGTCATTTTAACTTAGTCACCTCTTACTTACGATGGGTAAGACAGAGGACAGTGAAGATAATGTCTCATTGTCATCTGCTGCCAGAAGACATTTTTAGTGAAACTCCGGTGAATGCATTCATTCATTCATTTAGTATTTATTGAGCATTTATAAAGTTTTAGACAACAGGGGAGACAAGAAGATGGTCCTTAGGAGGTTGACAGTCCACAGGGCATAAAGAACAGTCTTCAAGAGCAGGAATTATGTCTTATTAATCTTTTATTCCTAGCACCTCGCACAGCACCTTGTATGTCGTAAACGGTTCCAAAAAAGTTGATATTGATCTGAAATGAATCCCTGTGCAGAATTTCTAAATCTGGTCTGAAAAAAACCCCATGCAGTGTTCTATTAATAGCAAGTTTGTATTTAGGTAGATAACTAAAGAAAAACAGGCCTTTACAGAGAGCGCCATGCCAAGGAAGACATTAACACATCCTCTCAGAACCTTGCTAATTCCTCAAAGTGTGAACCAAAACCAGCAGAAAGAATTCCACCTGGGAGCTTATTAGAAATGCAGGTTTTCGTGCCCCACCCTGAATCCTCAAAAGAAAATCTGCACTTTAGCAAGACCCTAGAAGGCTCACGTGTCCATCAAAGTTTCAGAGGCATCACCTTCAGAGATCCCTTATCAACAGTGTTGGTGGGTCTTCTTAGGATTGAATACAAGGAGTAATTAACATGGTGGATGCTCTCAGGATCCAAGCTGTAGAGTGCAGTGGTCATTTTCTGTAAGAGATGGATGTTTACACTACAGGCAAGGACAGCTGAGTAAACTGCTTTTCTTTAGCTTTAAAAATAACTTCTTAAGCAAGTACTTTTTTTTTAAGTTGGGGTCTCATTCTGTCCCCCAGACTGGAGTACAGTGGCATGGTCATGGCTCACCACAGCCTCAACTTCCTGGGCTCAAGCAATCCTCCTGTCTCAACCTCCCAGGTAGCTGAGATTACAGGCTCAAGCCACAGTGCTCAGTTTATTTGTTTGTTTGTTTGTTTACTATAGAGATGAGGTTTCATTATGTTGCCCAGGCTGGTCTCAAACTTCTGAGCTCAAGCAATCCTCCCGCCAGGGCCTCCTTAAAGTGCTGGGATTACAGGCATGAGCAAGTCTTTAATAGCTCTTCCATTTCCCTCACTTACTTACATCTCAAGTAACTTAACCACCTAAACAAACCCCTTAGGAGGTAGAAGAGGAAGATGATAATATTAACAGGAGCAACGGTCACCATTAATTGAGCATCAGCTCTGCCAGGCCCTTTACATACTCAGAACGACCCTCCTGGGTGGGTATTATTAACTCCATTTTACAGATAAATAAACTAAAGCTCTGATCGATAACAGGACTTGCTCAACTTTGCATAGCTAATAGTGTACTGAAGTGTGGTTTGAACTAGGTCTATAGAACCCCAAGGCCTGTTCTTCTTTCCTTGCGACACTAGTCTCATTCCTTCTCTATCCTGGAATTCCGACCAGCCACAGGGTTCCAAGGTGGCTTTTCACTTCTCACTTGCTGCCCATGGCTCAGGGACCTCTAGTTTCTGCAAATTAGAAATATAGCTTTTATAATGACAGTAATCGTAACATGCATGCTGCACTTGACATCACATTTCTGCATACTTTCTGTTATCCAGTCTTAGACTTAGGGTCTGATGATCCTAAGACCTGAAGGGTTATTTGGCCTGCCTAGAGTCATCATTCAGTGGTATATTCCAGTGCCCAGACTCAAAATTAGGTCATGTGGCTCTAGAGCTCTTTGTCCATATGAGATTTGATCTGTATATTTCCTATGAGTTGCAGGTCTTTAGAAGTGGGAAAGAGGAAAATGGTGCTTCCAGGCAGTGTGCTGGCTTTACAAAAGGGATTTCCCTCCATTGGATTGTGAGTTCCTTGAGGGCAGAGAAAGAATCTTATTTGCTTTGTATTCTCAGGGTGAGCACAGTGACCAGCATGGTTAAGGGCCAAACAAACATTTATTGAGCAAATGGTTTTAAATAGCTAGCTTCTATATTTCTATGTCTGCATAAGCTACTGAACAGCTAATTTCTGTATTTCTAAGCACATAATAATCAGTGCTATCCCACTGACCACAACACAGCTCTTCTCTCCCTCTTCCTGGGTCTCTACCCCCAGTAAGTGGCACCGCTGTCCTTCTAGTCTCCCAGGCTAGGAATCTCTCTTTCATTCGCTAGCTTCATCCTATTCGACATTGTCTTACTCAGTTCAGGCTGCCATAGCAAAATACCATAGACTGGGTGGCTTAAACAATAGAAATGTATCTTCTCAGTTCTGAAGGCTTGATGTTCAAGACGAACTTTCTGGCCAACTCAGTTTTTGGTGCGGGCTCTCTTCTAGGCTTGCAGATGGCCGCCTTCTCTCTGTGGCCTTTCCTCTGTGCATGTGTACAGCGTACAAGAGAGCTCTGGTCCTCCTCTTCTTAGAGGGCCACCAATTTTGTCAGATTAGGACCCACCCTTACAACTTCATTGAATCTTAGCTACGGGACTTCCTTAGAGACTTCCCAGGGGTTAGATCTTCAACATATGAATTTAGGGGGAACACAAGCATTCAGTTTATAACAATAATCAGAGTTGGCCAAATATTTGGACACAAATACTGCATTCAAGCTACAGTCATGTACTGTATAATGATGTTTTGGTCAACTACCGACTACACATACGGCAGTGATCCTGCAAGATTATAATGAAACAACTCATTACCTTTCTAATTTTAGATATGTTTAGGTACACCCATACTGACTATTGTGTTACAATTGCCTACACTATTCAGTACAGTC